AAAGAAAACATATTTTTAGATAGGTTAAGAAAGTTGGACAAAGTTTAACGAGCTGAAAAGAGATTATGTTGAACAAGCAAGGAAGTGCTAAGTTCGGGTGTAACCAAACATTTTATACTCTTGCAATTTGCAAGAATCAAAACCGTCAAATTCTTTTTAGGTGGCAAACTTTGTATTAAAAAATGTTGCGAAATAATTAAAAATCCATTATTCGATGAAATAATTTAATGAATAAATTACAATCAAATTAGGTATTGTCTTGACTTATAGTGAAGGTCATAAACTTCGACTCAGTTTTATTGCTATATTTTAGTTCGTGTCAGCTAAAATTATATAAAAAACATCTTCAAATGTGATATATGTATGTGATATTAACTCGACCGAAAAGGCTAGGTTTAAGATATTGAGATGATGTGGAAAACGTCAACCAGAGCATCGGAATTTATTGTATTAGGTATGTGAGGCTTACACCAAGATATATATAATTGAGCGCCAAACCACACAATTTTAAAGAAAACTTGTCTATTTAATTTCATTAAAATATCACATTTTGACCAACCTGTACGTTTTAAAGTCAGGTGGAAAGACGGAAGTCGTTATTTATTGAAATACATTATTACAGGGTTTCATTCAGATACCTCACATACCATCACCAATCATATTTAATAAAGTCAGTCGGATATTCAAAAATCCTGATAATAATTATATAAGTACTAGATCAAGTTTTCGCCCAATTTTATCCATTTTAGGCACAAAGGTATACTGTTATGAGTAAAACGCTCTCTCTCATTTTCATTGAGATAACTCACATAATGATGGGTATATGCGGTATAAAGTCACCCGGAAGTTGGAAAATCTTTTTATCAGGTATATGGCGGCTAAGGGAAGTATTGACGCGATTCAACCCATTGTTGACATACAGACATACTAGTATCAGGAAAAGAAAGTAAAGGAATCAGATGGCATTTAAAATTGTGTTTTATGGGAAGGCGCGTTTGTAGTCCGATTTTGCCTATTTTCGCACTAAAACATAGAAATTTAAGAAGAATTTTACTCTCATAACGTAAATATGTTCCGCTAATGCATTCTATGCTCTTATTGTGCCATTTGGCGTGATTCACACACAACGTTTCCATTTGTGCTCTATTACTCGCGGGTCTGCCTTGCTGTCGTCAAGCTTCAATGAGCTACAGTCGATTCTAACAGCAGTTTGCGCTGAATGAACAGTGTTGTATACCGAATTTAGTTGAAATCGGTCATGTAAGACCCGAGATATGAATTTTCACCTAAAGGTGGGCGGTGCCACGTCCATTGTCCAATTTTCGTATTGACTCCTATAAAACTTAAGTCTCTGACTTGTTTATTTAATGAGTTATCTATGAGTTACTATTAGTAGTTTGAATAAAAACCGTTAAGTGGGGAGTGGGCTGGGTTATCATCCGAGTTCATCCATTTTCCTGTCGGTAGGAGTTCTAAAAAGATTTCTTTTGATGGAATTCGGTTATTATAGCTTTAGTGGTTTGGTCAATAATGCGATTCGTTGTACCAAATAAATGGAATCTTATTATGAAGCTTATGACAGTTATGGCAATTTATTGGTTTTCGATTAATGGCCTTTTGTGGGCGTGGCAGTGGTCCGATTACGCCAATCTACAATATCAACCGTCTTACTGCGCAAAGAAATATGTGTATCAAGATATTTCAATTTTTACTCAAGTTATAGCTTGCACAAACAGACGGACAGACAGTCATTTATGTATATACAATATAACCTATTTCTGACTCGATTTGTTTGACAACTTTTAAGTGAACAAAATTATTATACTCTGTAGCAACATGTTGCATAAGTATAAAAATTAATCGTCATTTACCAAATTATTATTTATCATTTGTAGGTCAAGTATTTATTGGACCGGCCTAGACCTAAAATTCTGTATTTGTATGATCAGATAAATCAATTACTTAGATTTATCTCTTCATACACTTAAGTATATACTTGTACTGTTAAATGTCTGCACTGATTTGTGTAAATATATTCACGAAGTTATAAATAATTTATTGTATTATATGTATTTCATATTACTTAATTCATTACAGAGTCCAGTGGAAGTGTTTAAGCACTTATATTAAATTAAGCCGGCGCTCATTAAAGTATAAACGTCGGAACAAACATTTAGCGTTATTATGGTAATGAGCAACGCCCCTTTAAAGCAAATCAGCGTAGATTGCACGTTGACAACAACGTCGGAAGTTTAAGTAATGAAAATGCTGGTTTTATTTATACTTGTATTACAAGCAAAAACCTTGTAGGAATGGGAACGCTTTGCTTGCAAAAGTCAAATTGTCAAATTTTCAACTGAGTTAAAGTGTATGCTAATTAATTGAAATAAAATATGATCGATTTCAGTTGTTTTAAAGAATAATGAAAATGTTAAAGCAAGCTCCTCAAATTATTGACCTGTTCTAAAAATAGATCATTTGTATGCCATTAAGGTCACAAAAAGAACAGTAATTTCAAAAACATATTATATCTATTCAATCTTAATATTTAATTAAGCATATACTTAATTGTAATGATGTATAATTCAAAATTTCTTTAACAAAAATTCAATGCTACTTGTATTTCCAAAATTTAGAATTTAGTCAATATTTTTTTTATAAATCTGCTTTAATTAATTGTAGCCATTGGCCTTTTCCTCGCTCGCTATTGTTATTTTTCAAAGGCATCGACATACACGAAAAATAATCATTTGAATTCGGATGAATAAATCTCGATGAGTGTCTTTCGTTTTACATTTTCCTTTCGCGTCAACCGAAATATTTATCATAATACACTTGTCCGAATTTCACATGTTTGCCTATATTTTCTTAGTGGGTATTTGTTCATATTGGAATAAAATCGTGCATAAATATGTGTTCTCTCGTAAATAAAATCGAAGTATTTAATCATATATTTCTATATGCAAATTATCAATTTGCACGCAGCTGGTCGATCCAGAATGTTGTAGTATTGCTTTACGCTTTTATTTTGTTGACAAACGATGTTGCAAGGGGCGTTCTTTTGTGAAAATATTGTTTTAATTGGGCGCTCACAAATAAACATGCAATTTTAAAAGATTAGGAAGGAAAATACCGTTAACGGAAATTCGTTATTAATTTTAATTATTCCAGTGATCTATATCGTTTCGTGTAAAAATATTACGTAGAAGTCGAAGTACTGAGTAGACTCCGCGATATTAAAAATTTGCCGATAACATTACTTGTTTAGTTTTATGTAATTTATTGACTGATAATACTAACATTTATAATATTTAATTTATAAATATGTAAGTCACCCAAACAGTAAAAGAGTTACCATATGTAAAGAATTCTTCCGTTTCCGACAAGTTCTCCAAGGGAGCCATAAAATTGTATAAAAAGATCTTTATTTTCATTTTGATTGGTCAGTTTGTATGGCAGCTATATGCTATAGTGGTCCGATCTAAACAATATGTTGTTTTAGAAAATATTCCATGCCAAATTTCGTGAAAATATTTTGTCAAAAAAAAAAGTTTTCCATACAAGAACTGTACTTTGATCGGTTAGTTTGTATGGCAACATATCCTATAGCAGTCCGATATCGATTATTCCGACACATGAGAAGCTTCTGGGAGAGGAAGGATCAAGTGCAAAGATTATGATCGATATCTCAATAACTAAGGGAATAGTTGGCGTATAGACGAATCGCCAAGCTGATCATTTATATATATGGTATGTATACTTAGTAGGGTCTCCGACGTTTACTTCTGGATGTTAGCTTAGTGGCAAACTTAATATATCCTGTTCAGGGTATATGAACAGATAAGAGTGAAGAAATCGCTAGCCTGAAAGGAAGCTGTTTAAATTTATTTTTGTGTATTTATCAATTCTATATGTTTCAATGCGCTGATAAGCGGCCGTATGTTATGCGCTTGTAAGTTTCGCAAAGCGAGTGCAATGTGCCTATACATAATACATGTAATATAAGTTATACATATGAACACTTGCAACTCTTTATTTTATTAATTTTACGAGATAAGTACTTATGCACATATGTATGCATGTACATATTGTATATACTTGTTTGGCTATAACAGTTCAACAATTTGAATACGATTTCCATTATATAGGGTTTATTTATTATTAATTAATTTTACAGAGACTATGAATGTATGTTTTTATATAATGCTAAGCAATTAAAATGAGATATGTTAGTTTGAAGTATTTGTGCACCACTTTTTCCAGTATAGCTGGACTTATCTCGCCGATAATCCGCGAGTATTGATTTTCTACTGGTCAGTCATAGCTGTTTTATTAGCAAAAATTAGTCCTTTACGTATACCAAAAAAAATAATCCTATGAAGTAAAATTTTTCATTATGCAATTCGATCACGAAAAGTTTACAACATTAAACTGATGGTTTCATGTTTCTTATACTTAGCACTATTTTTTCTTATTTTATGGCACGACGTGACACATTAAGAATATCGGAAAATCTGATCGACTTGCACGCGCTAGTGATCGCCATTGAATTTGTGTTAATTTGCAAAAAAAAAAATAAGAACAGTTTTCTCAAATTGACCGCGCAAACGTTATTTTTCGAACGCACTACGTAAGCGCGATACACCGTTATTTAAATTTTTCGTTACTTTGAAAATAGGTAGAAAAAAGTCGCTATGAGTCAGATTTGCAATATTTCCATATTTTCTCAACGCGCGTAGTCCATTTGGATGATTGCCTATTGAACCCAGAAATACACGAGATAAGTAAAGAAAGATAAAAAAGACTAAGGAATGTAAAACAAATTTAATAAAAGGAAATTAATCCAAAGGAAGGAATAGTATTATTTTCTTATCTTTAGATTGAATAATTCTTGTCTAAAAATGGTGTGTATATATTTACTAGGTAATATTAGTAATAGATTCGACACTGCGAGTATTAAAAATAATTTATTTCTAATTTCGTTTTCTATTACCTTGCAGATTTGGTACATTGCACGAACGAACCGAATGTCTCCATACCACATTTGGCCAATTTACTTATTGAACGCTCACAGAATACCAACTGGGTGGTGGTCTATAAAGCGCTGATAACCACTCATCATTTGATGGCATATGGCAATGAGGTGAGTAACGAAATAAAAATGCTTTATTTTACACATTTGTTTCTCGTATGTGCATACATATGTATGTATGTATTTAAATATGCTTTGAATATTAGTTCAATATATTGTTCATGTTTCTATATAATACTTGTATATCTGCATGCATTGTAAGTATCATACATACTTGTATGTCTAACTTGAGTCGGTACAACTCTGAATCAACATTGTATGATATCGGCCGAGTAATTGTGTTTTATTGATAGCAATGAAATTGTATAAGAATAGGCGTACCGCAGTACATATTTACATATGCATGTATAAATGAGCATATATTCGAATGCGGGGCGTTTTGTCACTTGTATTGCTTATATAACTTCTATTGCTTGTAGCCTGAGTACTTTTTTTTATAGATTGGGATTTTTATAGTCTCGCGACATGTTGCTACAAAGCATATTAGGTTTTATCACCTAACGGTTGATTGTATGTTATCACTTAAAAATAATCGAGTTAGATATAGAGTTATATACGCATAAATGATCAGGATGATGAGATAAGTTAAAATCCGAGTGACTGTCTGCCTGTCCATCTGCCCGTCTGTGCTGATGAAACTTGGCAAAAAAGTGAGAACAGGTTCGTAGATGGGCGTAATCGGACCACTGCCACGCCCACAAAACGCTATTAAATGAAAACCTATAAAGTGCCGTACCTAAACTGTTTTATTTGACAATAAATCTTCTCGAAATTTAGCTCATAGAACCGAATGTATTTGACAATACAAAGAGCCAGTTCATTTTATGAAGTGCATATGTATTGAAATTACGAATTTTCTCACATGTTGGCGCAGATTGAACTATGTCGGTACGCTCCGTAAAAATTAGTAATCTGGTTATTAAGATTATGCAAATTTATAGATATTTTCATATATACATAAATAATGATGTGTTCTATTCAAAATTTAAGTTCATATTTTATCGAAATTTTTATTTCCCTTTTTGTTTTTCACAGCGATTCATGCAGTATTTAGCATCCAGCAACTCAACGTTTAATCTCAGTAATTTTCTGGACAAAGGCGGGGTGCAAGGTAAGCAAATAATAACAAGAAGACTAAAGAAAAATGAAATTAATTTTGCACGGGTTGGCAATCATTACACAATATTACACATAATCTCTTCAGATTTTTACAAGTAAACTGCTGTCACTGCTGTTGAAATACATACATACATACTCAGTCATTCTTGCATAAATATGTGTATATGTATGTGTATGCAGATCCGCATTATTCACAATATTTATGAAATTAAATTCACTTTCCAATTTGTGATTGGCATTTTCCCATCCGTACATCTACACTGGTGTACGAATTGAATTCATGATTTCATTCATAAACTCAAAATTACACCCATACATATGTATACTTTATACAGACACATACATATATTATAATTTTTCTGTAAATTTAAAATTCAATCATTTGACAGAAATGAATTTACTTCAGCATTTTTCATAAAATAACGGATTAACTTGTTTGTTTATTTTTAAAAGCTTAAAATAAATTATTTTAATATTTGCATCATTCATTCATTTATCACTTATCCCACTTTTGCTTCAATTATTTATCTATTAACACACTTAAATGCATTTATAAAAAATAAATTAAATAATAATAATAACATATGCTTTTTTCTTCTCTCTTTTCTTCATCTCTATCCTTCTTCAACATCTACCCGTTAAATCGGATATTTTCAAATTAATAAAAATATTATAAATATATAAATATTTCAAAAATCTCAAACTGCTAACTTTTCAAATGACGGCTTATTATGTGCAAAAATGCATTCAATCTTGAATAACATTAAAATTGTTATTTAACAAAATTACGTAAATAATAAAATGCCGCAAACAAATGATACTCTTCACACACACACACACTCACACATTAACGACTAATTGGTTCTTTGTTGTTGTATAATAAATTAATTGTTAATTAATGTGTTAAGATGGCTTATCGGCACCGGGTGGCAGAATGGGTGAGTACTTCGCTGTTAATAACTAGATTTAAATATCCCAAGTTCTGCTTTAGCTGTACATTTGATTTTCAGTTGAAATTGAACTCTAACTATTGTATTTGATTTGTTGCACTCAGGCTAGTTCTAAACTGGTTATAGAAATCACCGAAACTATTAGCTGTAAATAAAAGAAATTAGGTAGCGATATTTTCAACTAATTGTAAATAATTAATTTTATCAGTGTAAATACGCAAAAAAAAAGCTACATATATTGCTTATTGAAGACACTCTTATTAAAAGCACTCTTAAACCAAGCTTTATAGATATTTTCATAAATATACATATAGTAGTTTAAACTAATTTGGCATGTAGTTTTATATTTAAAATAATTTTTGAGGACCACATTGATGTTTTGCTTAAAATATTACTTAGATGCATGGAGTTTACCATAGCAAAAACTTATCCTACTTTTACTCACTTGGGGCAATGAATTCAGTGAATTGCCATTTACTTTACAAGTATATTTATCGTTTTTTATGTCCCCTAAAATTTATATTTTTAACATTCAATAGAAACAATTATTTCCAAATTCTAAATATAAATATATTTCTGAGTTGTTGGAAAAATTATTTTAAAAATGTAAAAAAACAAACGATTATTAGATTGGAAAGTAAGGCAGAAAATAAAAGTGAAATGTCTGTAAACAAACATTATTTTGATTGAAAAATTCAAAATTGACCTCACTACTGCAGAATAGGTTAACTGTCTGACAAATAAGGCAAGAAATACTACCATTGCCGGTCATGACTACTGTAACAGTATTATGTATGGCTACTGATCTCAATATACTTGAAATTGGTAAAATTAAACACGAAAACATTTTTTAAAGGCAACGACGTTAACTTTATATTCAAAATAGTTATATATAGTTGCTTAAATTTGACAATTCTGTATACTAAAACAAGGGGGGGGAGTGGTAGTAATACAAAATTCATCAAAAATTACGACTGACTACAATATATCAAAATCATGTCCTTGTATGGAAAATGTTTGTATTTGACAAGATATTTTCACGAAATTCGCCATGTATTATTATTCATGTCAACGGTACAATCTCCGAAGAAATTATTAAGATCGGACCACTATAGCATTTAGCCGCCATTCAAATCGACCGATTTAAATCAAATTCTTGTATGGATTATTTTGTATTTGTGAATTATAGCTTCGCTGCAATCAAAAGTAACATATTTTTCTTGTTTTTATTCTAAAATATATGATAATACAAAAGAGACTTTAGTAAATATTTTGTCCAGGACATTTTCACTCTTCAGAAACAAATATTTAAATGATTTTCTGAAGAAAAATGTACACTAACGGAATATTATTTACTTATCTTTACTACAGTTAATTTACCTGCTAGTACAGAATTGAGTAGATTGCGTTTAGCTTAGCAATTTCCAATCGTAATATCTATATTTTCCCATGGTCCCCAATAAAGATCTGGAATAAGAAACCTAAATTGACATTAGTTAGTATACCCTGGGTTCTCGATGACGACATTTAGTAGAAGTAATTAATTAACTGATCAGCTTTGTAGTTTTATGTCAAAAACCTTGTCCATATTGCAATTATACTAAATGCTATGAAAGACGGTAAGCAGAATTTCTGTGGAACACAAGTAACATTGTATATATTTGGCGTGTTTACTGTATTTCACTAACAATTGTTTGAAATCTTAAGTTTATTAATAAATTACTGAAAATGCACTATATTACATACTAACGACAGTGAGGAGCGGTAAAAAACGTTAACAAAACATAATTCAACAACATATTTTAAGCAAACTTTTTATTTTTTCCAAACATTTTTTCTTTAAATTTATTGCATGAGTAAGCATTTTTTGAAAAATAAAATCGCCCGTTTTTTTTTTTTATTTTATCTCATAAAAGTGTAAAATATTTTATATAAATATGTAACGTGTTAAGCTCAACTATTTGTTAAATTACATCTGAATACCCTACACAGTGTTTAGCGCCTAAAAATATGTCTCATTTTTAAATGTCAATTTTCGATTTACTAGACAATTGAAGTTAATTTTGAAATTACTAGAAGTGTATTTAAAGACTCTCAGTTTTAGAAGTAGAACTTTTGTTTAGCCAAATTTAAATATTCGTATTTTTCTAATTTCGTATTTTTTGTAATGGAAATTCTTTAATAGCTATGCCTCTTTTTCTGTAGCTTCTTGATTAAAATAATTACTATTCTTAACACTGATTGCAAATGCATTAATTTTTTCCTGTTCGTACCCCCACAGGCTATGACATGTCTCCATTCATACGACGCTATGCCAAATACTTGAATGAGAAGTCACTCTCATATCGTGCAATGGCTTTTGATTTTTGCAAAGTAAAGCGCGGGTAAGTTTTATATGAATTATCATAGAATATTCTACTTATGCACCAACAACTATGCCTGTTTGTATGGTTGTGTGCTTGTATGATTATTCAAGTGCGCCGCAGACTGCAGTCATGCAGTAAAAAAAATTAAAAAACAAATTATAATTTAAATTTATTTTTCTTGCCCACCATAGCAAAGATGAGGGTTCTCTGCGGACAATGAATGCCGATAAACTGCTTAAGACATTGCCAGTACTTCAGGCGCAGTTGGATGCGTTATTGGAGTTCGATTGTCAAGCCAATGACTTAAGTAACGGTATGTTTTTGATATTTTGTACGTTTTTGGTAATTAATTCGGCAACTCTCGTTTGTTTTTGGTTTTTCTTCCCCATTCAATGACTTGCGTTTCACACACATACATCCGCCAGGTGTCATCAACATGAGTTTTATGCTGCTCTTCCGCGACTTGATACGTTTGTTTGCGTGCTATAATGATGGCATCATTAATTTGCTCGAGAAATATTTCGATATGAACAAGAAGCATGCACGCGATGCTTTGGATCTGTACAAAAAGTTTTTGGTACGCATGGATCGTGTTGGTGAATTTCTCAAAGTCGCTGAGGTGAGTGAAAATGAAGGCGCGATCTTTTGAAAAATACATATTTGCGCCTATGTATATGATATTCGTCTTTGTTCCGTTCTTTTTTCTTAAAAACAGAATGTTGGTATTGATAAAGGTGACATACCTGATTTAACTAAAGCTCCCAGTTCTCTCTTGGATGCTTTGGAACAACATTTAGCTACTTTGGAGGGTCGCAAAGTATCCGCCGCCAATACACCAACTCAATCAGCAAGGTATTTTTTAAGTTCGGTAAAATGTCGGGGTGAATGTTTTTGAAAAATATTCTAGTATATAAAATTATAGGGGCTCCTTCCATTTTCAAATATTTACTTGAGAAAGGAAGAATGTTCTTCTCTTAAATTCTTTACTAGACAGAGAGAGTGTCTGTTTGTCTTTTTTATGCCCTTTTGATTTTGTCAATCTACTCTTCTCGTCTATGTGAATCGAATATTATTGGTGGGTCTAAATTAAGCTAAGCAATTATTTAATTTGAGAGCGAATTTTTGTGTGTGACGCAATCCATTAAATAATAGTATTTGTATCTTAAACATTTACGGTTTGAATTTATTTTAAATTCTAAAGGCTTAATCTCAAGTTAAATTTAGGCTTCTACCCACTGTGCCTAGTTAATACTTTGCTTAAAGCTTAAGGAGATCAGTCCAGCTCTAAAATAGGTATTAGTTTTACTAATATATTCCGTTCAAAACCCACATCTGTAATCTAAAAATAGTAATTATAGAAAAAATAATAATTGTTAGAACTAGAGTTTAAGTAATATTCAATAATTAATTTATTATTAATTTGTTTCAGTAATTTTCAATAATTTGTTTTTAGTAATTTTTAGTATTGGTTTGATTTATTTTATTGTAATTTTAGAATTTTATTTGTTTTCCTTTTCTTATTTAATTCCATATTTTATAACTACATCTTGGTCGCTTTTGTGGTCGTCATAATTTTCGTTACCGTTGCTGTTATCTTATACAATAATTTGGTTGCCATTTATTGCTCGTTTGGTAATATTTTTCGTTTCAATACTTTGTTGTCTACGACGCTGGTTGATAAACTTTTATTGCTCCCATGTGCTGAGTATTTATATAATGTTGATACGTCGTAAAACAAAACAATTTAATAAAACCCCTTGCCATATCGGCTTGAGCACACTCGTAGCAATCAGAAGAATGTTAAATCCGCTGTTACTGCCTTATCTTCCACCAGCTCATCCTTCGGCACGGCCGCCGCATCAAGCAAATTCGACACGACCAATGGCATCGATGAGCAATTGAAAGCCCAGGTATTAGCCGAAGAGGAGGCTGCAATGAACCAATACAAAGTAAGTGATATATGCAAAGCGAATTAATAATTTGTGGTAAAAACTTAAATTTCATTTATGCTGAAGATGTTATTAATTTTAGTTCATAAATTAAACTCAATAAATATTAATTTCTTCAACAAATTAAAAAAAAAATCTTTCTATCGCTCGTCTGAACACCTTTGAGCATAGATGCTTTCTAGTCCCCTCAATTTTTTAACTGTCCAAATCGCCACATAATACGTAGTGCAGTGCGACTATTTCAATTTCTTGAACAATAAAAATGTTAAAACAAGCCGTATCTGGCATTTAGGGGGCTGAGCGATGACTTTCGTTTGTATTTTAGTAGTCATTATCGCCTTTATAAGCATCTTAACAAGTGTTAAATGCCTGTACTATCTCGCTTTATTCTCATATATAGGATTTTGGGTTAAGCTTTTCGTTGTTAAGAAAAGACATTGGATGAACGCCTCGTATATCTAAGAACAAGGTTACTTCGATTTTTATTACAGGTTTTATACCATATATTAGATGATTACATTGTTCGTTATATAAATGACATTTAGAATTCTTAAAATTTGAGGATATAATAGGTCATAATAAAATAAACAGTTCAGCTTACACTTCAGCTTAATATTAGTTAAATTTTAATTAAATTTGTATTTAATCTAGTTTTTTTCATCCATTTTACAGCAATCGAAAGTCTCTTCACCCACTGCAGGCGGTGCTGGTGCTGCACTAACAAATCCATTCTTATCGTCGCCGCCAGCCAGTAGTGCTGGCGCACCGATAGTTGATCTGTTTGGTGCAGCTCCGGCAACGGCTGCTGGCTCGACTGGTGCCGCCGGTGCAGGCAGTACTGCGGGTGGCACAAAAGCCTCCGATGACTTGCTACAATTGGGAAATCCATTTGCTGATATGTTTGATGCACCAGTCGGTGGTGTAGGCACTGGTGGCGGTGTGGCAGCAGCAACAGGTGGTCCACAGAATGTCAATAATATTTGGATACATAATAATGGTAGCATGCATTTTATTTAATTTTAACTCATTTTCCTTTTTCATTTCTAGTACAAGCTAGTTAATGTGTGTTTATTATTGTTATTCCAAAGTTTATTATCAAGCACGCCGCCTTTGAGTAGTAGACTAAAAATTGCATTTGGTTGCATTTAAAAAAGCTTAACTCTTAACCAGACCAGAACCAGACATTAACAATGTTTGTTTTCCAATTAGGTTTCAATGGTGCGCCTTCAGCGGCTGCTAACGCTTTCGTCTCGGACAGCAATTTTTCATCCGTTTTTGGTAACACTGAACCAGCCGGTAAGTGAAATTTATACACTTCTTTGAAAATAAATGTCTATGCCATCCTTCTTCGGCGCGTTTAATTGTCCTAGAGTGTTTGTGATTCCTATATTTGTTTTCCAATTCCTAATCCTTCCACAATTTAAGCTTTGAAACTTTAACTACCAAATATTCCGATTACTATCCAACGGTGTTGTTAAACAAATTATTTATCCTTTTATTAATATAACGTGTATTTATTTGGTTGCTTAGCAAAGATATATTTTAAAATACTGTATATTTTAGAAAATTCAATGTCTTATTATGTGTTTTTACTCTTTTGGTTGTGTTTATTTACTACCGTTAAAATTTTTGTAATTACTCATACATATTTACTAGTATTTAAGAGATTACTGAATACGATTTGCAATAACCGAATTTAGTAAAAATGGTGTGCATGCAACTAATCGCTTATGGCCACTTTTATTTGTGTACTCTTCATGTTTTAACATAAATATTGTGAGTTATATAATTCAAGTTTTTGTTTTAAATTGACGTTAACCTTAAGCAATTAGAAACTCCATAATTTTTTGTATTCATTTTGTTTAAAATCTTAAGGCGATATCAGCATATGTACAATAAGGATAAATTCAAAGGTTTCATATACAATATATTATATTTTGTAGAAAATAATAATATTTTTACGTATAAGAAGCAATTAAGCAGTACTACATCAAAGTATCTTAATGTTTGCCTCTTTTATGTTAGATCAAGAAGAGATTTCGAATTGTTCGAGTAAAATATTAGTAGGTACGTCCAGTATATAAATGTCAATAAGGGTTCGTGTCTATGTTTTTAGGTTAGATTTGATGAAGTAATTCATCTCAGGAAATTTATTCTTATTTTTTCAGATAGTTAATTTTTGCATAATTAATGAATTTGTTAATTGAAATTTTGTGCTTTTATTTTCAATTTATGCTCTAACTGAAATACGCGCATAATTACATACAAAATGGCTATTATAACTAACAACAACAACAACATTGCAAAAAATTTGCAAAACCGTTAACTGAATGCGAACCTAAATTGTTGGTGTCCCACAGCTGCTGCTGCATCCTCCTCCGTAACGGACTTACCAAATCCATTCTTTGACACTATGGAAGCGCCGCTATTTGGCGCACAGCAACAACTGCACCAGCAAATGGAATTTTCAACCCACAGCACCGCTGCCGCTTATATGCCACAGGGGGCTCAAGCCGCGCAAACGCTATTTATGAATACAGCAACTATGGTGGCGCCGGCGTCACAACAATTCCCACCAGGTGAAGAGAAAATATACATGCATACTTATTACCTCTATATACTATACGTACAAAATAATCAGTCAGCTGTATAAGAGCAGATATTGCTGATCCCTTATACTTTTATGCTCACACTTGCTCACTCTCATACGTACTGGTATTGTATGTAGGTATAGTATGTACGTGTGTGCCCGTCGTGTTATTTAAACTTAAAGCTTCCTGTGTTGCCTTTTTGTTACTGTCATATTATATTGTATTGCATTGCTGCACCAAGTTATACCACGAACAACAACAATCCAAACTGCTTAATACAAAGTGAATGCAAAAAAAAAAAAAACAAGATTTATGCACGCTTTGCTTTGGGTTATTGTTTTTGGCTTTCAGTTTGAACATAAAAACGCAGAACCTCAACCACGTTTGTCTAATCACTTACTCTACTGTCATTAAAGCTAGGCACTACACACGGTACCGTTGCTTTAGCGGCGTCTGGCCAAGAACACAAGCCCACGCCACTCCTCTGCAATGCTTCTTTGTATACATACTTCTCGCTGTTCCTCGCTTTGCAATCTACTGCCGTGCTCACAAATGTGTGTATATTTTGTTGTGATTCCGTTCGTGTTCGTCTTCTGTTTCCATGCCCGCCAATCAATGTCTTTACCAAATCGCACTGCCAGCCAGTCAGCTTTGCAATGTCCTTTAGCCCAAGGCTGCGTGTCAGTTTTCGACATTGATTTTGCTCTGCGGTCTCTTTCGGCAACTCTTCTTTAGTGATTCCGTGCTTCCTCGTATTTTATGTGCTGCCATCTCGCTTTCGTGTTTTGTTTTCGTTTATAAAGTATTATATTTGTAGCATTATTATTATATAATTTTATAAACATTTTAACTGTAGGCTTGATTCAATTCTTTACTTCCATATTATTTCCAAAAATTATGAGTATTTCAAAATGTTTGTCATATATATTTATTTTCTTTATTAATAGAATATGTTCGTTTGAATGTGCTTTCTAAGTTCTAATGACTTTGTTGTAAATAGGAGCTTCATTTTAGCTTTAGGCGAATTTGAAATTCGAAGAAATATTTTATTTCTTATAGTTAGATATAGATATTAGAGTGACAAATTAGAATAAATACATATAAAATGTTAATTTTTTGGAAAAAAATATATATCATATCATTAACAACAGAAGGAACGAGAAAACTATTTATTATGGAAAGGGTTCTATTCTCAATATTTGTTAATGATTGCTGAATTGCCCCGTCTTTGAGAATTTAAGGTTATGTTTTTTTTTACACTAATGAAATCATAGTCCATTTGCATGAATTTTTTTATATATTTTTTATACAGGAATTTTTTTACATTGATCCTAAGGCCAAAACATAGCAAAAACAAATTTTAAATAGCACGAGTATTTAGGATGGGTCAAAAAATAGGTCCTTAGACACCTCTAAAAAACCTCTCCAAGTTTGAGCTCTTAATTGTAAAGGGAAGGTCCTCCGCCTTACAGTTATCAGATACAAAAATTCATATCTCGCTTCCAACTACTTGAAAAAATATTTCGTTTCATAAGTCTTGTGGGAGATTGGATACGAGAATGCTCTACAAAATTCTTACGATTTTTTCCTAAACCTAACCGTTTAAAAGATATTAAGGGTTGAAGTTTGATTATTTTACGAAATTTTTTTTTTCGTATGAATTAAACAAAAATTTATTTTATATTGCAAAACTTACAGTCTTGTAAAAAATGTACTGCACTTTCATGTGCTGGTTTACCAATAAAATAGGGAGCAAAAGAACACTTAATCAGATGTAAACTTTTTGAACAACGCTATCTGTATTTTCGTCTTATCTATCAAAATATGTGATCGGAGCCGTTTTAGTGAAAGATATCTGATTTTTTTGCTTGGTCTTATAAATTGATTCTAAATTGTGAACTATCTTCATCAATTAATTATACAATAAGCCGTTTTTTAAGCTTTAGTTGTGAATGAATTGTTGGTTAGAAGAAGGTTTTGGACAAATAACCCAGTTTATATTACAATACCCGTTTTAAAAGGAAAGTTTCACAAAGATATTTGTTAAATGATTTCTTTTATTTTTACATATATTAAATTTATTATTTTATATAATAATTGTTTTTTTTTATGAACTAAAGCGCAATTACTGGTTCCTTAAGCTTTATTTGTGTTAAGAAGTATATTCTTTTTTTTAATCATAAACATGAGTATATGTACGCTTATTTAGAATAAAATAATCCTAATTTTTTGAAATCGCTTTTTGTAAGCCACATCTTTTATTTTCACTCTTTATTTATTTTTTTTAATTTATATCGATATTCTTTCAACATTTTGTTTTTATAATATTTTTATTAAACAAATACGATAAATAATTATTATTTTCTCTCTCATTGCATTCGATTATAATCAGAAAAGTCACTGGTGCTTAAATATGTCAAATACTTTAACTGCATATGGAGTTTTGTAAATCGGTACTATTTATGTTGTGTGTAGACTTGCATGTTTGTTTTCAATTCGTTTTCTAAATGTTGAATCTTAACTACTAACTAAACTAATCCCAAACCTACTTTCAATACACTTCATACACTACAGAAAAATAATATACAACTCCATCTGTTATCCACATACATACTCTCAAGAATGCGTTACACATACATATGAACATTTTAAACATCAAATATAATTAGGGTCATTGCTTTCTGTAAATGTTTACTTTATTCGAAATCAAAGCTCACTTAGTTTTTTGAACTTCTCTCACTTAAATCAAAAAAGTTTCCAAAATCTTTTTCTTAAAAAAATATATAGTATATTTAACACAAAAATCGTCATATTTATTTATTTTGTAAATGTATTTTTTCTCTTTCTCTTCTTTTTGTTTGTCTTTTTTATGTAAACTCACAAAACATATTTTGTATCATAATTATGGCAAAATAAAACTATTTTAAACATACCAAACGGAAAAATGGTGGCACTTATAACAATATCGAAAATAATATAAATTAATTCCCAAAATTAAAACAACAACAATACAAAATTATTAAACGTATTGAAAATTTCAACGAATGCAATAAAAAAAAATTTTAAAAAATCGTTAAAAAAACAAATTCAACAATTGAACCTTTTGGTGTGGTGAAAAATGTAAACTAACTGTAAAAAATGCTTTTTATGTCAAAAACAAAATAAAATGCGTCCAAACATCATGCAAAAACTCATTTGTCTGTGTTTCGGGGTTTCCACTACACACAAAATCCATGTACACATTATAAAAAAAAAACAAAACACATTATGGGTTCATTAATTGTGTAACTGTTTCTGCAATAAAAATCTGTAAAATAAAAAACCCACCATGATCAAATGGAATATGGTGAATTATGCACACCCTAATATACTCTAATATAAATACCGCTGGTTAATGAAACATTTGTGTGTAAATTAAAATTACTACTGACTACTAAAACCAAAAACAACAAAAATATCGAAAAAAAATCTGAAGGCTTTGATGCTCTGGGTGATGTACTTAAACCTGGCATCACTTCCACGCATCCAGCCGCTTCCAATCAAACAACTATTGTCACTGCAGGTGCTCTGGGTATGGCTGGTAGTCAGCAGCAGCAGCAACTACTCACCCAACAACAACAACAACAACAACAGTTTCAACAACAACAACAACAAACACAGCCAACTAATACTGGCAAAATACTCACTGGCGATTTGGATAGTTCGCTTATGTCACTTGTAGATAATCTGAATATAAATAAATCGAGCAGTGCAAAGTGAGTAGTAGTAATAATGACAAGAAATTCAAACTTAAAAAAATAATCAATTAAATAACACACTTCCAGAGATTGAAATTAGGGCATGCGAAAAGCATAGAAAACTTGAAACCAAAACTACATTTTATTTTTTATTGTAAGAACAGCTCATCAGTCACCTCAGAAACTAGAAATTACATTTTTTTCTACATAAAGATGAATTGTAAAGTGCCGGAAATATATAGATATGAGTCTTAAATAAGTTTGTTTCAGAACTGCTAGCAATCAGGAAGAAGCGGAATGCGAAAATTAACAAGTTACTCTCATAAAGAGCGAAATAACGAAAAAGTAATGAAATGGAAAACTAGCTAAAATATATAGATCTGAAAATTAATCTATACAATTTTTACTTTTACAATTCAAAACAATTAAAATAAAAAAAATAAAAGCAAATGCTTCTTTACACATGTGTTTAACAGCTATGTTTTATAAATTGCAGCATCTACCATATGTTCGCTGAATAAATTGTTCAGATCGGGCCACTATAAACATATAGCTAGCATATAAACTGATCGATTAAATCCAGCCCTTGTATAGAGAATTTTTGAATTTGACGAGACATATTCACGAAATTTCGCGTGAATAGTTGTCTTAATACAATGGTACAATATCCGAAGAATTTGTTCACATCGGACCACTATACTTGTAGCATATATCTGCCATACAAACTGAAAGATCAAAATCAAATTCTTCAGTGAAATCTTTTGAATTTGTGAAAAGTATTACAGCTTCGGTGTAACAGAAGTTAACAGAATTAACAGTTCTTGTTGCTAGTGATAGTTAGAAGTTCTGAAACAAACCTAATATTTTTATATATATATAAATGACTAAAGTATATATTAATGCCTACGTTTTCTGTTCAAACCTTTAGCGGTTATAATATAATTAAAAATTCTCACGGTTTTATATATACAAGTTCCAATGAGACTCCATTCCTTTTAATAAAAACATCTTCAACATTTCTGGCATGGAAATATAATAATTAATATATGGTAATTTTTTTTAAGTCAATGATAAATATTCATATATAAACAGACATTTTCACACAAACACACATATCAACACTCACATAATAAGTTATTCATAATATCAATATTCCATCTACCATATTTACTTACTACTGTATAGACCTGTGCAATGGAACTCACCGAAAAATACAGCGAAACCCGGTGCTAATTGGACACCTCAACCAATGGCTGCTACAACTGGTGCTGGCTATCGTCCAATGGTGAGTCTCAATCGCTTCTACTAAACTACTAAAAAGCAAAAAAAGATCTTTTATTTCACGTTTAACTCAAATAAAACAGTACTACTCCTACTCTACTGCCACAGGCACTACTACTACTACTACTACTAATTATACAATTCGTACTAGAATATACGATACTAATTTGTATATGTACTACTTACAAAACTACCTATGAACACCTATTGTCCAACAAAAGAAATATATGTGTATATATAAATCAATCCAAAAAAGATACCACAAAGCGACAAATTGCAGAAACGAACCAATTTATGCCAAACCATAATACATGTTGTAATGCCAAGCAACAAATAAACTGAAAAAAAAATTATTTATAAGCATACAAGATGTTTCAGTAAAAACAGTTACAAATAAAATACACAATTTTTATTAATTTTCTTTTAAACTTTTTGCGTATTTTTTTATTAATTCTTTAATCTAATTTTCACGAAATGTTTTCAAAAAGCAGTTTTGAATTTACCTTTATCACACTTCCCTAAAATTTAAATTTTTTTCAAACTTTTTTTTTTTTTAATGTTTTTTAAATTAATATATTCTTCTGTCATCTGCTCTTAATTCGCTGAATTCGTTGTCGTCAAACACGCATTGCATATTAGATGTTTTTATAGAGTCTATATATTTTTTCAAACAAACTATACGTCATTTTATTCCCATATTTTGAAGTTAAACCTGTTTTATTTATTTTCCTAAGGTATTTTAAATGAAAGTGGAAGTTTGTGTAATAGTTTTACCCGAAAAGCGTTATGGTTACTCCTATAGTTCGGGCAAATTTTTTAGATTACTTTCTACCAGAGAAAAATTTCTAATAAGCCTCCATCCAAAGCCACATTAAATGAGGTTTCATTCACCGACTAGCGTTATTTCGTGCATGTTCTATAGAAAAGTATAATAAATTCAAAATAGCAATTTTTAACATATCATATTTATTAACATATCTGGCTTCAAAATTGTGGTTTTAAAAGAATAAAACTTATAAAACGGGATTATTATAAAATACTGGTTATTTTAATTCTCCGTTTTAGGTTCCTAGTATATATGTTTTTTTGTAGTTTTTGTATATTGAAACAAGAAAAAACCTTAACATCGGTTGCACCGAAGCTATAATACCCTTCACAAATACAAAATGTTCCTTACAAGAACTTGAATCGGTCAGTTTGTATTGCAGCTATATGCTATAGTGATCCGGACATTACACGATTGGCGTGGATAATAATCTATGCGCTAATTTTCGAGAAGATATCTCGTTAAATGAAAAAGTTTTCCATGCAAGCACTTGATTCCAATCGGTCAGTTTGAATGGGAGCTATATGCTATAGTGGTCCGATATCGCCGGTTTAGTAGCTTCTTGGGTGGAAAAGGACGTGTGCAAAACTTTAGATCGATATCTCAAAGACTGAGGGACTAGTTCGTATGTATATATACAGACAGACGGACATGGCTAAATCAACACAGCTCATCATGCTGATCATTTATGTATACATTTTATAGGGTCTCCGTTGTTTCCTTCTGGGTGTTACAAACTTCGTGAAAAATTAATATACCCTGTTCCGAGGATCTGCCCAATATTTACCAACAGAGAATAACTCAAACAAAGATATTTAACTAAATCTTGATTGGTTGTTACATCGAAATAATTTTAAATATGGCGGATAAATTAATTGAAAAAAAAAATACTTAAACTTTTTTTACCTCTACGATTTTTATGGACACAAATGTTGGAAGCCACAACAATATTATTTATCTTCAAAAACTACATAGAATAAACAAAATATACAAAACTATTTCAATTTCCTACCACTATCACGCATAACATAATGACATATGCAAACATTGCATAAGGATACAAAATTTGCTAAGGGTCCCTTCTCGCTAATTGCTTTAAGAACTTTTTTTTTTACTAATTATTTCCTTATCATCTATATGTTTATACATTTGTATATTATCTCCTTTTTTAATTTATCTTATTTAAATTTTTAATTTATGATTTTTTCTCTTTTATCTTCTCTTTACATATGAATACCACTCTATACTACCCACTCATTCGCTGCGTTCATTCGTTTAACTACATGCACACGATTAATACTCTCGTTCTCGCGAAATTCCCTATCGCCAATAAACATACGTACCCACATATGCAATAACAAATAATACGAAACTCACATTATTTAATTATATATACTCTTTCTTACTATTGCAAATCGAAAAAAAAAAATTAAAAATAAACCATATTTCAAATGATTAAATATTTCATATTATATTCTCTTAATTTTTCTCTGTTCATTGCATTCGTTTTCAATAAATAAAAAAATTAACTGATTTAATTAAATCAATTAAAAACAATTGATTTCCATTTGCCATTCATTGCCGATATTTCTCGTGCGTTTTTCACGAATACTCGACACAAATGAATCTCTGTGTGTGTATGTACCTTGTTCACTCGTACCACCTTTAATACCACAACCACCATCACTACCACTACTACTACTACTACCATGTTAACTTAGGCACATGGCATGACAGTAAGTCCTGCGCCTATCACAATCCAAAACCATCCGTATATTCACGCTAGTTATCCTGTTATACCAAATTATATGCAGGTAAGCTGTCTTTTATGTTTTTCAATTCTTTTATATTGCTCTTAATTTAATTGCATTATTTACAATTTTTATTTTAATTTTATTTTAATCGTTTTGTTTATTGTCCATTTGAGTTAACTTCCACCTCTTATCGAATTGCCTAAACCTGCTATTCCCCCGTTTGCAATTTGTGTAACCTTAAGCTTGGTAGTCAGTTTGTTGGTCTCTAACGGCATTTCATAAAGTCAAATAACGAGTTTGAAAGCATGCCTAACTGTATACCCTTAACACTACCTGCTATCATGACACCCTAACAAACTATAGTTTTTTTTTTGAAATAGAAATATTTAATTTTTTCGTTATACATACTGACATTTTAAAAAAACAGCTCAAAATATGCAGATGAAGTGAAAATTAAAAACGAAATTGACAATGAACCTTTGTGATACTTCGACCCAGTTTACTGAAAAGTAAAAGAAACCGAAGTTGTTTACAATTTTGCTGGCAGTTATTCAAAGAGTGTATAGAAATTTTTCTATAAAAAAATATGCCTGTATAACAAGAAAAAACGTTAACTCCGGTTGCACCGAAGCTATAATACCCTTCACATATACAAAGGCTCTTTACAAGAACTTGATTCAGCTCGTTCAGTTTCTATACAATTTCTTCGCAGGTTAGATTATTGCCTTAAAGATTATTCCATGCCAAATTGCGTAAAGATACCTCGTCAAATGAAAGAGTTTTTCATACTTGTATATGCACTTGATTCCGATCGTTCGGTTTGTATGGCAGTTAAATGCTATAGTGGTCCGATATCGGCCGTTCCGACAAATGAGCTGCTTCTTAGTAAAAAAAGGACATTTGCAAAATTTCAGAACAATAGCTTAAAAACTGAGGGACTAGTTTGTATATATACAGACAGACAGACAGACGAACATTTATGATCATTTATGTATATATTTTATAGGGTTTCAGACGTTTCCTTCTGGGTGTTACAGACTTCGTGGCAAACTTAATAAACATTGTTCAGAGTATAATAATATTAGGACCGAAATACTACTCATCTGTAAAGCTTGTAGTACTCTTTTCTCAAGCATTTGAGCTTAAGAACTAATTTTTTGAAGTATTCAAATATAAACTTCTTTTATTTCTAAATTTAAGTTTCTACCAATTATTTTTAATATATTCTTATGTATAATTTTTCTTTTGTTTTCCGCTACATTTAATTGAATAATACAATTACTTAAATCTCTTTTCTCATTTTAGTTTAAAAAAAAATTCATTTCGATTAGCGAACATTAATTACGTAATAAATATCGGGATTACTACTACTACTAACCTCCTAGTAATCACCTAAATAATCAATAATCAATAATTTTGCATAGATGAAGTTATTTGCAGTATTTAACATTTTCATTAATAGTTCAATGTAATTAGTCGCCAAACTTCGTCTCCGTCTCTTTTATCTTCTCCCTTTTTCTTTACCGCTTATTTTCACTATTTCGATTTGATTTGAGACTCTTTGAGTTTAGTTTGATCTGTGACTTTCTTGTCTTATCTGAAGGCAAAAATATTTGAAAGTAGCTCTGACAGTGTTGCCCTTTTTGTGTACGAGAGAACGAAATGGATTATTCTCTACAAATGCATGTTTCCTTTCGATTCTCCCTTTAGTAAAACCTTGATTACTGAATGAACATATTTAAATATTTTGCTAATAAAACGTTTTTATTTTATTTTCTTCACCTCTCAACGCTCGCCAACACACACACCGTATGCTTCGTATGCTCGCATTATTAACTAACTGTACGGTAATCATGTGTGTTGTTTAGCAGGGAATGCCGGTGATGGGACAACCTATGATGGGCCAAGCCCCTTTGACTGGCGTACAGCCGACGATGGCGCCAATGATGGCAGCGGCGCCCCAAGCGCTGCACAGTAGTGCGATAACAATGCAACCGCAATCGATCCACCAACAACAACACAATGGCAGCAATAAGGGAGCGCTACCGGATCCATTCGGCGTATTATAAGATGGTTGAACTGACAGCCGACATGAGCAACACTAACAACCATAACAACCCAACTACGAGTAAGCGCAGCGGAGCTGCTGCATAGACGTGTGTGGCGCCATCCAACAACAATTCGCATAATCAAACCACATTTAAAACTATGGCAGGGGGGTATACAAAAATGAAAAAAAATTAACAAAGATTGCTGAAATGTGCTGACAAGCGGAATGGGGGCGTGGCCGTTGAGTGGGGGTGCATAAAATAGCTTAGCTGTGGTAGAAAATGTTGATGCCTTCCATTTGAAAGGGGACGCGAACAAGCGAGGTGCGTGTAGAGCAAGTTGTGAATGTCATTCATACAAATATAATAAAAAATTATAATAATAATAATAACAAAAACATGTTTGAAATTATAAATTAAATACAATTGAATACTATTATGATTATATTATATTATATACATTAAATGCAAGCAAACATAAAGAAGAAACAAAATGTAATGAAGGAGCGTTAAAATTAGTAAATAAACAAAGTGAATACCATAAAATACATTATTGTATTGTACTATTTCTTATAAATATAATTATTCTATTGTATTATGTAACTGCAAATACCATTACCAATCACAAAGAGCGTTAATTGAAATGTGTAAATTAGCAAACCACAAAACCACAAAAAGTTTTAAAAAATAATCGGCAAATATATAAATTACACGCAGCATACTTACTGTTATTATGTATATATACATATATGAACCAGATATTCGTATCTAACTGTATAAACATACACAGATGTATATGAATAATGCAAAACCTTCTATAAATTAGTGATGTTAGTGACACTCAAAGCTGGCACGCTAATATTAAATTACCAAAATAAAAGTTTCAATATTATATACAGAGCAGAAAAATACGCAAAGAAAGTAGTTTGAAAAAAACAGAAAAAAAATTAAAAAAATACAAAATGGATGATGCGTTATCAGTAAAAGGTACTAAGGGTATTTGTTGTAGTTTGTATAATGTAAAGTTGGCGTCAAATATATATGTATCTAAAAGAGTTAATTTATAAATTATATAACACGCAAAAGTAGCAGAAAAAAAATTAACGCAGCAGCAAGTATAGTGTAAAACAAAGCAAAAACAATTATATTGTCCCGTTGAATATATGCAGATTATATGTATGTATGTGTATACATAAATTATGTGTGTATATATATTTATAAATAAATGCAAAAACCGAAAGTTCAAGTTGATAAGCTAAAGAGAAACGCTATAATAATAACTGTTGCAAAGTGCAGTGTACGAATCATATATATGCATTCAAGAAAATGGCCATAGCATTTGGACACATTTTCTTTCCACATAACAGAATTTGATTAAAATTCAATTTGTAATGCTTATGTAACTCAAACTCATTTAACTTTTACTAAATTAAATTTCTCATAACATGCAGCTTATAATGAGCTTAGATTTATATAAATCGTGTTGGAATTGAATTTCGACAAAAATTTGTTGAGAAGCTTTGATTTTGTCGGTTGAATTTCTCAATATTTTTATTAATCTATTATGTATTTAAATGCTGAGATAAACGAAAATACACACATATAGGTGGAAGGTTAAGTATGCTGAATTAGTAGCTATGCTTTCTTTCTTGACTTTAATTTATAAGTTTCAGTCAGGTTGACTCAAAATTACTTGGTGACTACTTCTGGTACATAAACTCCAAAATTAATGACATATAACCAATTAGAGCTTTTAAATGTGCTTGATTTGCGAGCAAGTCAAATATTTAGAATTAAGTGTTTACTTAAATAGCTTTGTTAGCTTCCATAAAAAAAAATTACTTCCATGATCCATTAAGTATATATAAACATACTAATGTCGACCAATCTGTTCGAAGTAAAAATTTGTTGCTCATTAACTATTTTGACGACCCTAAGTATACTCCTATGTATGTACCTTTCTACATCAGGATTTGTTTGGATTTTACAGCTTCTTTAGATTCTTTATTAATATACCTCAATCGCAATCTTGTGCCTGTCTGATTATCTTCACTGATATGTCTGTACTCTATTGTAATTCATGTGAATTCAAACCTTTTAAAATTCTGTCTAGCATATAATAGATTTCTTATGAATAACATATATATTAAAGCACCAGTTATTTACTATTGAATCAAGCTAGTAGCGCTGTAGGTATTCATTTCTGTTCTAAAAAAAAGCATTCCAAATTAAAAAAAAAAAAAAAAAAAAATTGAGAGAAAACGTTATTAAAAATTCGTCTGTTTGGTATTAAAAATAAATAAATTATATTTAAATAAATTAGTTAAATATTTTTTATTATGTAAAGTTTCTATTATCAAATTTTTGCAGCTTTTTAGTATACATATTTCATAATTTCTAAAATATTTGGCACTGAAAAATGTAGTTGCTTTTTAAAAAAAGATCTTCAATGTGTGATTTTTTTCATTTACATTTTTTTATTTTATTCAAATTATTATTAGCACTCTGCACATAGTGAGTAATGCGTATAAATGTTAAAATTTATCTTTAGTATATTTATACTATTCGAAAGTTTGCTATGTAATTATGTTAAATATTATTATATTATGTATCTGTACGTAAATTTGCAAGATGTAAATACAACAGAAAAGCAAAACACTTTACAATTGTATTTGAAGTGAGCTGTGGCAAATGTAAAGATCGATAATTTATATTACCTTAAACGATCAATACCAATAATTCTGAACTGTTTTGTGTAAGTTTATTGATAATAACGAATCGTAGCTTATGATTGTAATGATGATGATAATAAAAATAAAAAACAACTAAATAAATCTTTGTATTATAATCGCTCATTCACTCTACCTCTATAACTACTCAATAGAAATTAATTTGAAGGCCCGGTAAATGAGTTAGCAACTGTGTGTGTGTTTCACTTTTTAAACCAATGATTTTGCAGGACCTAATATGATCATAAACTTAAATCAAGAAAAAACGTTAACTTCGACTGCATATTTTATATCAAAAACTGAGCGACTAGTTTGCATATATACAGTCAAACAGACGGACTTGGCTATATGCGCTCAGCTGAACATGCTGATCATTTACACCATATATGTAGTTTATAGGATCGCCGACTTTTCTCAGTGTGTTACAAACTTCGTAGCAAACTTAAACAGGGGTGTTTTAGAATCTGATAGTTGTCGGAATCAGAATTGAAACCGATAAAAAAATGTAGTAGCTGTCATGAATTCAGATATTATTGGTTTGACATTCGAAACAGAGATTGTATCAGTTTTGGGTGTCACGGAATTAAATTTTATCGGTTTTGTTATCAGAAACAAAGCAAGAGGTTAGTCGCTGACAGATTTGAAATGTACGTTAAGAAATTAATTTATATTATTGTTACAATTTAATTCTTTATTTTTGTAGGAGAAAACATAAGAATAAAACACAAAATGTCATAATTATTGAGTTTATGGAAAAAAGTACAGATGTTTTAAGACGATTTACAAAACGTAATACCCAAATGCGCCTTTATTCAGTCGATGATGTGATATAAATCTGTAAAGTAAGCATGTATACAAGCATACAAGAAAATTCAAGCCAAATTTAACATGCGATTTCCCTGGTGCATCAAGTGGTTTACTTTGAACTCTTAATATCTCCATAAGCTAAAATAGCGGAACTAATTAAAAATTTAATATAGCTTATTCAGTATTTTAAATTTATTAAACGCTTCCAAATTTATTCATTTGCAAGTTTTGCTCAAAAAGACGAAAAAAAATCAGATTCGGTGACACCATTTAAAATCTGAATTGGTTTGCAATTATGACAACTACGCAAATCTGTCTTGGATTCCAACACCCCTGAATCTACGCAATTCATTAGGATAATAGAAAGAAAGAAGAATTCTACAAATATTACAAAATAAATATTTGCAATAAATAATTTTTTCTATGGACTTTGTGCGGTATTATAGTTATATGTAGATAATAAATAAAGTATTATATAAGGAAAACTTACAATATGCAATATTAGGACCAGAGATAGCCTTGTTTCAGCACCAATTTACTTAACGAAAATAATACAATATATTTTTTGAATATTTTCAAGCAAAAGGAAAAAATATTATTGCATTTAAATATCTTCATGTTGCAATATCTATTAAACAAAGCGCCCTTGTAACTAACTTTTAAAAATGCAAAATATATATAATATATAGTATATGTTTTCATCAATTCACTACTACTATCTTACGCGGTATTGTAAATGTTCGTATATGTTTGAAGCAGACGAAAACTATTAGCTATTGCCTAGTTTTAGGCATTTCATTGAAAATCAAATATTAAATAACAACAATTTCTTGTTGATGTTGTGGCAACACTGTCTTTAAAACTCTTTTCAGACTTTCTTTGGAACTCTACAGAGGTTAGTATGTAGGCTGGACAGGGCCGGACCGGGTCCAAAAGTAAAAAGGTAGGGGCCCACTTCCTACAGGAACTTATCTAATACTTTATAAATTTTATTAACTATGTTCTCATTACTACTTCAATGTTTTTGAAAAATAAATCAAATGCGACGTAGTGTTGTATGCTTTCATCACATCTGAACTAAATTTGATTTCTTGTTGATGTTGGATGGAACAACTTTGTTTGGAAAATCAATAGCATAGACATTTAGTTAAAAATGTTTTTTCAGATTATAGCGGAATATAAGAATATATGCATAGCAATACTTGACAGTTAATAAGTAGACAGAAACAACTCATTGAAACATTTATTTATCGATCGATTAATGAAAAAACGGCTCTTTTGAAATCTTTTGACTATCATGACTAAGTTTTTGAACATGCAGTTTAAAACCCTCCAATCTTCAATTTTTTGGAACTTAGAAGTGATTCATTGGAGAACTTATCGGATATATTATATGAACGGAATACTTTTTTTGGAAACTTTTTTCTTTCCACTTCCTCATATAGGTAATTTCCGTGATTTTTTGTTTTTGCTGATGGTAAAATCGTCTCGATATACTCTAAACTCTCGGCAACAATGTTGCATTCCCTTCCATAAAGTCCCGACGGGTTTCTGCAGTTAGGTTGAGTTTTTTAACTTCATTCAAAATGTTTATCAATCCGGGAAGATTTTTCATAAGTGGCTTGATGACCACGATCCTGGTGGACCACCTTATAGTAGAAAGACAGTGAAGTGAATTGGGTATTTTGGATTTCAGAATTTTACAAGGAGGTGTGCTGCTACTGATAATATTGAAGCATTCAAGTCGAGTCAACTGCAGAAAAATTCAGCGTGTGGGCACCACAGCGCGAAAGAACTGCATACTTATTTTTACGTTCGATGTGATTTTATTTACTGCTCATATTACTACCATTATCATAACCCTGTCCACGGCAATCTTCTAAAGAAATGTTGTAATTTTCCAATGTTTGCAAATTAAAGCGGCAATAGCTTTGCCAATTTTTTCTTGACAATCTATAAAACCTTCCTTTATAGGTAATTATTTGGAATGTCATTAGCCTATTTGTTTTGCAATAGACCACTTAAAATTCAAAGAAAATATCAAAACAAAATTTAAAAATAGTGCCTGTGTCATGTGATATTTCGCATACAAAATTATCGTAAATCGGTCCAAAAATTCTCAAGACCTTCAGAACTTCCTATTATTACTTAATCATTATGAAAGGCAGTGAAATAAACATCCATTGAAGGTATTTGGTTATAGATCTACCTTCGAGATATCAATGTTAGAAAAATAAATACTTAAAATACATAATATGTCGACCACTTTTCATAATAAACAATTATCATTCTTTACCACTCAATAGAAATCCCATCAAATCCCAATTAAAAATATACTCAAATATTTTGAGAAATTTTTGGTTTTTTAAACTTTGACATCTTATGATCTTCAGAAATGATTCAGTTTTAAAATATTCGTTGTCAAAAAGTGAAAATTTTGTATAAGGCAATTTTGATCGTTAATTTTATTTCCCAGACAAATAATAGCAATTAAATATTCCAAAAAAGTAGCAAATATTAAAGCAATTAGTAAAATCTGTAGAAAAATAAATTTTTTAGTAACGCCTAAAACTAATTTCCAAACAAATAAAAATGGTTGGAATTAAAGGTTTGCGAGAGAAGCATGCAGCCCGGCAGCCAGCAAATCTTATGATGGCGCCGAAGCCAGTACATCCGCGCGCCGTGCGAACACACGGTTTCTTCGGTGTCTCGTTTGTGCGTCAGCATATGGTCATAGATGATCGCTGGACACCAACTTCTTTGACGGAGCAATTCAAGGGCATGGCTGATTTATTATGTAAGTTTTTGACTGAACTGAAAATGTGAGACGTTGCTCATAATTGTAATCCTACATGGAACAGCGAAACGTTTGGTTTTCAAAAAGCTGGAAGCGGCAGCCAATCACAAGCGATATATACGCGAGAATCGTAATTTGAAGCGTCAATGCCGCGACGGCCGTACGAAGCTCTCAAATGTGCTCTACGGTGATAATACTAAGAAAATACGAAATTTTCTAATCAACCACAAGGATATGCAGCGCTTGTATCAGAAGATGCCCGTCGAACTGGTTGTGGATAATATCAATCAGCGTACATTTGTGATGCGTAAGGAGCGTGATCGTTTAAAGTTTCGACTGGATCAGCTGAAGAATGTGTACAAGGAAAAGCTGGTTAATATTGTTGTATTTTATTTACTAGGAAATGTTTAATTTCTCTCTCAACCTCTCTGTATAAATTATATTTTTCTCTTCCTTTTAGCTCGAGCGCGCTGTTTTGCAAAATCGCATTAAGTACGAGAACGAGTTTGTATTGGAGGAGGAGTTGAAATCACGCGTTTTCCGCAAGAAAATTGAGAACTCCAACGTGCGCTTAAAGGCGATAAAAACTATTAATGGCACTTATAGAAAGATGATTCAGGTGCTGCGACACGATGGTATTTTTTATGAGCCAATTTTACGTTCGCTCAGCCAAGACATTGAGGATCAGTCCAATTTCATTAAGCATATCTTGTATTTGGGCATGCCGGCGATTGCAAAGTTCAAGGAACTTAGTGAGGAGTATAGGGTAAGTGCTTATCTCGTAGTGGTAAAAGCAAATACGCGGAGGGTTAAGTGTTAAGTTAGAGAGAGAGGTTGACTCTAGTAAGGGATATCAAGTGGCTTAAAAATTTAACCAATAATCCCCTTGACTATCACGATCTTGGAATATCACAAATTAATGCAGACTGGTAATTTCAGTTCTAGACAATACACCTGGTTTACTGGTGTGGAATGACATCCTAGATAACGAAAACATTTTATATAGCATTTTTCGAGCTCACGCAAGGTGCATAGCTCAGTTCTCGATCACAAGAGGTGAGCAGAGCATTGCCGCGTTGCCAGTCCGAACATCTCCTTGATGTTGGTAGTACTTTAACGATTGTTGGAATTTGGGTAGCCAGAAGAAAACATGGAAAATCACATTTGATATGCTAGTGTTGTCGAAACATCAAATTTTGTAATCCCCAACTATCGCCCACTATAATTAAGCTTTCTTCATTTACATTTCCAACTAAATATATATTATATTTCATATTCAAACTAATTTAGCAAATGGAAGATAAGTCGCGTAAAAGTATGCAAACTAAACTTCAAATGATGTCTCAATATCGCAAGGAGGGAAAACGGGCAAGTGTACCCAAACTTGCACAGAAACCGGAAGACCCCTTATCGAATGCTAAGCGTTATGTCCGTGAAACAGCGAGTATGTTATTCCTCAAGAATGAGTTGGAAGTCATTGAGGACACAATAAAACAAGTAA